TTATTATTTGAACTTTATTGGTTATTAATGATTTTTCTTATTTAGATATGTACTTTTATGCCAAATAATTTTTGTGACAATCAATTTAAATATAGTAACCTATAATTACTATTTTGAATTTTAATTCCATAGTTTTTATTCCTAAAGAACACAAGTATTCTTATTAAAATTTCATCATCCATTAATATTTTCTTATTTATTTTTAAATATGCTCTGTCATACTCCTTCACTTTTGTAAGATTTGTAGGAATAATTGTGGACTAAAAAAAACTCCGTATTGAGTCAAAGTGATGAGAATAATTGTGGAGTAAAAATTAGGTTCCCTCGTTGAAAAAGTATTATTACAAGAGTACTTTTCAAATTTGTTAAAAAAGTGATGTATGACTACAAATTATTGAGGCATATTCCTCTTTATTGATATGTACGCAGTTTTGCAAAAGTCAGTACACAAAACATTGTTTTGTAGTTTTTGCCCTTATTATGTACGGATGTGCCCTATCTAAAGTCAACTGCACGATGAAACATGTTCCGTAATTGAAAGTTTGTAATCCTTAATTGTTGATTAATATTTAATCTATATTCTATATTAACTCTATAATAATTGATGGTTGTAATACATCCACCACACAATATCAAACAAATTAAAGTATAATCCTATTTCTTTTTTAATTCCTCCCCCCACAATACCACGTGTGTAAGTATGTTACGGTATGTTCAAAAACTTATCCAATACAGCAATACTCACCGTATATTCTCCACTCTTGGCGGATAAAAGTAGACCAATTGACCGCTTGTTTTTTTTTGAAGGACCAATTGACCACTTGTTAAACGTGAATAGATTGTAATTGATGAAATAATGAGGGAAAAATATGTAAGAATATGGTGAATTCATAAAAATAGGTTTCAAGGAAAAGTAACGCCAAGCTTGAAATCGGAGAAATGGGAATTCAAAAAAGTATTGAATACGTGACTTGAGTAAAACACTTCAATGATGAAAATCAGATACGGAGTAATATATTAATAGACAATTTCGTGTATGCACACATTTTTTCATTTATATTACTCTCTCGTCCCTAAAAATATTTTCAACTTTCTCTTTCCGTCCGTCCCAAAAAGAACTTCTCTTTTCCTTTTTGACAAAGAATTTGTGGTTCACATCCATTCTTACAGATTATTAAACATTTCTCTCTCATCTGCACAACTCTCCATCGCATAATTCTCACTTTCTTAATCTGCGTGTCATTTGTACGACGGAAGTACATTCAAGGACAGAGGTAGTAATAAATCCTCATATTAGAGCATATCTAATGTTACAATGTGCATGATGCACATGTGACATGAGAGAGATAGACACAAAAAATGAATTTATGACATTTCTGTCTCATTCTTTTCATGGTTTTATGTGTTTTTGGTAAGTTTTCCTCTGCAATGTCAAACATAATGTCTATAACTAGACATTGTGCTTGACATTGTGAAGAAAAACTTACCACAATGATACAAGATCCTTCAAATAAAGAGAGAAAGATTTCATTTATCGTTTGTAATTGGCTATTTCTCGTGCCACGTATGCACCGCACCGTTCACGTTTTAACATTGAAAATGCTCTTACACATTCCTAACTAATACTCCGTACTTTGTATGGTAGTTTATTAATTAACTTATATTTTATCAGTATAAAAAACTCAACATCGTCTTATTGGAAAACAATGGGACTGATATTCTAAATGGAGTTTTTATTAGGGATATATTCAGATCCTAAATATTTCAGATACATTGCGACACTTTATAGAACATTTCTATGTTGTAGGTCATCTCCAAGAGTCACCAAAACCTCCAATAGACACTTTATAGATACATTGTCATTTTTTTGTTCTAACATTTACACTAAATCATACACCATTTCACTAAAATGATGGAGGGGTTGATCTGAGTTTTTACGCCATATTTGGCGCAGAGATGGGATGCGCTATCTTCCCTTTCTAATATTTTTTCTTTTTGCAAAAGTGATCTAAAGGTTTGGACTTTTGGTTGTTAATTATAGTTTTGACCCATTTTTAGAACAACAAACTTAAATTGTAAATTTGATTTAAAAAATCAAATCAGACAATATTATAATCAAAGTTTCAAATCAAAACAATTAGTGAAATATAAATAAAGTTTCAAATTTAAAACAATTATTATAGTATTATTGTAATATTTAGCTTGTATGGTTTTAATGAGTGAAATGCGTGAAGTATTGATTATAGTAGTATTTTAGCTTGTATATGTGAAATAATGAGTGAAATGTCAAAGTACATATTTAATGAGGAGCTAATGTATAAATATATGATAATTAGATAATTAAATATAACATTGGTAAAAAGTTAATAAAAAGAATATTCTTTTATAGTGATAAAAATGTGTAAACTGTTGAAGATAAAGTACTGTATGATGTGATACTGATACCAAATTAACGCAAAAAAAATGATGTAAACGGTTAGAGATGATGTTAATCAAAATTCAGTATCAAATAACTTCAAATATGGACAGCCTTATTGAAATTTCGAATATATCATTTCATTATTGGTAATTATTTCAATGCATTATAAGAGTGAATAGACTATAGAGCCCCTCATTCCTATCGGAGTACTTCTTGTTTAAGTTGACTTTGGTAATTGTGAATAAAAAGAAACTGAAGGTGAGGGAATTGGAGCTTATCGAGGAAGAAGGATAGGGTGGAGTTTTCTCTAGAAAAGGCATAGTTTGGGTTTCGAGTCACCACGGCACGCAGTGACGCATTACTCACCATTTATTCCTAACTCAAGTAAAAAAGTTACAAAGTTATTGTCAGAGTTACATACTCAGTTTTGGTTGTATGTTTACCAAAAAAAGTTGGGATAAGGGAAAACTGTCAAATAGGTCCTCGAACTTTAATAAAAAAGTCAATTAAGTCCTTCTATAGGAGACTTTGTCCGGTCGTCGCGATTTGGGGCAGTTCCCGGTGGAATTTTTTGATGAAATTTCTTGAGCATCTTATTCATCAAGTCTAATTTACTCATACCAAATTTTAGATAAAAAATTAATAGGGAGCGCATTCAAATTAATTCGAGAACGCAAAAATGCGCATTTATCTTCAAAAATTAATTTGAATGTGTTCCCGGTTGAATTTTTAGCTGAAAATTGGTATGAGTAAACTAGACTTGGTGAATAAGATGCTCAAAAAATGTCATCAAAAAATTCCACCGGGAACTGCCCCAAATCGCGACGGCCGGACAGAACCTCCTATAGAAGGACTTAATTGACCTTTTTATGAAAGTTCGAGGACCTATTTGACAGTTTTCCCAAAAAAGTTTAAAAAGTTTTTTTTGGTTGTAGGTTTACCAAAAGAGGTTAAAGCCATGGGGATGGTACCGAATTATAATACGTACGGGGGTATGGGGTGTTGTTTTTCATGGTTTCGGACTATGGATGATAACTACGGAGTATTAAAGATGCATTTAATTTAATTGCTTACCAGTATATCTTTATGATCTCCCATGTTCAAATCTAATTTGGTCAATCCTTTCATCTAATTTTAGGGTTTTGCCTTCAATATAATTAAATTAAAGCCACTTTCCTGAAATGTGACATTTTTTCAAAAAGCCAAAAAAGTGACTAATAAGGTCACATATTTGCCTGAAGTGTCACTGTAACCGCTGGCTATGTCACTATAGGCACCGTCGATGTCACTGTAGCCATCACCTGTATCATTGTAGCCACCTCCCGTGTCACTAAAGCCACCGTCAGTGTCACTGTGGCCACCGCCCGTGTCACTGTAGCCACCGTCAGTGTCACTGTGGCCACCGTCTGTGTCACTACACAGCAAAACGTGTCACTATGTCGTCGGAAAAGTTTCCGGCGACTTTTCGCACCAAAATCTTCGTCGAAAACAATCAACTTGCCGCCTCGACACCACCGCCATTGCGTGAGACGGCCTAAGCCCTTACCCCAGCCCCCTTTTCTGCCCCTAGCCCTCTCCTGCAACTACAACCAGTCAACCAGCCCCTGCAATTATCACAACCAGCCCAACACCACCCACCTCCTCATCCCCAACCACTTCCCCATCCCCTAACCCCCAACCCTAGCCTCCTGCCCTGGCTCCATCCACCCTCCCCAACTCTAGATCTGACCAAATTCAACTCATCCCCTGCCTAGCCCCACTCCCAGTTCCTTAGTCCCCAGCCCCCTCCCTGCTCTTCCGCCCCCTGTCATCCGGCCAATTCGCCCAAAAAAACACCATCGCACCACCACGGACCATTGTCACACCCCAAATTAGAGTCATCTTCCATGGGGATGGCGAATCCGACATCGGCGGCCCTAAATTAGAAACGCCGCCCACTGAGGAAGATGGATCTGGAACCGAAGGCTTCAATTCGGGGCTGTCGTCCACCGGAGGCACAGTCAATGAAGATATGATAGAAGCTAGGCGAAGCTGATGGCGGATTGCGATGAAGGCTTAGAACGGAACAGATGGAGAAGATGAAGTATGTAGGGCAGAAGAGATAGAGAAGATGCGACTAAGCGATACGGTAAAAGGGGAAGAGCAGCGGGCCAGGTCACTTTTGTGGTATTTTTAAAAATGGTCATATTTTTATCCAAGACAAGTTGAGAAGTAATACTCATGCCATTCTTTCCAAATTTTAAGTTGAGAAGTACTCCCTACGTCCCATTTATTTTGTCTCATTTTACCTTTTCGGGAAGTTCCACTTATATTATCCCATACCATATTTGGCAAAGTTTGTGTGGCTCTAAATCATTCTTACTTTATTCTTACTTTATCAATTAATATCTCAACCACACAAACTCACTTTTCTTAATAACCGTGTCACCCTCTTCCGGGACAATATAAATGGGACGGAGGGAGTAAGTCTTTCGAAGTTAGTGAATGTTGAGTAAAAAAAGGTTGAATTACCTGAATGTCTTAAATCATGAAAGATATGTAAAATATATTTCATGGTAAAATTAAGAAAAAATATTTAATATATTCAATGACGCCGTCGGGATCACTCGTATTACGCTCCAAAAGAATACATTTTGAATTAAGAAATTGCGAAAGTAACAAGAAGTTAAGAGCTACGAGTAATAATAATTTACAGAAATTCCTCCAAATCGGGAGTTAGATATCTACATCATTCCCATCTGATCCTCTCAATTAATGCATTCATTCATTAAAATAGAATAGTAGTCAACTGTAAAGATAAATACAATAATTAGATCACACGATTAAAATAAAATTAATTACTTTCCAGACTGACCCTATTTAATATACTGCACTTTCTTGGTAAACAGGTTTCGAAGAACAAATAAATTATTCCTGCTCCGAGCTGTTTCACTAGGAACTCCGCCACCACAATCGCCGTCACATGCGGCGGCAGCAGTTATGGTGCTGCTCTCTTCACTTCTACAACTTAGATGGGTTCGGTACCCAATACACATCGGTACGTTCAAGTTAAGGATGCTAGCTTTATGCACACCATTAACCGCAACGCCGTTCGCCGCCGAGGAGTTTTTCCGGCGTACATCATTGCCTTCTTTCTTAACGCCTTTCCATACTTTCCTATCTATTTTGACAGTTTTATCAGCGTCGCCGTCACGTTTAACGGGGTTTTCCGTGGATCTAGACGGATTGTCGATGCTCCGGCCGCTGCGACGAACCTGCCACACCGGGCTGCTCCGACCCAAATGGACCCCGGGTCGGACCGGACTGGTGGGCCACTTCCTCGACTTGGATTCACCGGCGGAGTTACTACGAGAACAGGGCGCGCTACTCACCTTCCGATGAACCGACCCAGATCCAGCCCCGACCCGCGGCCGTGTCCCGCCGTTACCCGCCGATCTGCTTCGAGAAAACGGCCAGATGTTTATGTTCAGCTCCGCCGCGGTGACCCCACTACTCCCAACCGCGCCGGCCTTCTTCTCCTTCTTCTCTTTCTCCTCGATTCCGCCCTTTGAGTTCTTCTTCTCGCCTTTCCTGAAAATATCCCTCCACCGCTTCGAAGTACTGACTGCAGAGGAGGCGGAGGAGCTAACCGCCGCAGGAGAAATACCGGGTCCGTCTGACCCGGAATTCCGTGACGGGTCTGCGGGAGATATTGTTGAAGTTTGGTCGGAAGGGTCATCGGAGGAAGGGCGGTGGTCCTGCGGGACATGGTCGAGTGGGAGAAGCACGCCATGGGAGAATAGCTCATCGGCAGAGAGAAGGTCGGGTTGTGGCACGGACGGGTTCCGGACCATCCAGAACTCAAATTCGGGCGAGTTTGAGACACTGCTCCGTCTTCTTCCACTGGTGGACTGGGTCAGAATTGCAGGGACCTGAACCTCTATTTCTTCCATTTTTAATCTCTCTCTCTCACTCCTCTTACGAACATAGAGCTATATAGAAGCCCGAGGATGGAGATATACGGAGTCTTTCGTATGTATTTACGGTTGTTGAGTGCGCCGTATTTAATTTGGTTTTGAAAATAATCAAGATAATACAGTTCTATCTGTCTATCATTGAAAAAGTGTAAGAGTACATTCTGTATATCAGAAACATGTACAACAAAAGTTTTGATTTCTGAAAGTTTAATATCTCCAGCTACCTTTCTTTCATATGAAAATCTTAAATTAATATCGGTAAATACCAATAGGAGTAAAGATGATCAATTTTCATAAGATGAGAATGAGAGACTTGGATAAAAAAACGCAAATGTTTTGCACAATATGACGAGGTTTGGGAATCTTTCAAAAGAAATGGTGTTTTCGTGTCAACATGACAAAGAAAAATAAACTGAATAAAATTGGACTTGAAAGCTTTTGTAAATCTAGCATTAGTTCTTCGCGTACTTCAAGTATACGTCAAAGCATCAATGTGCTGTGACGGTTAAGTTTAGTTGTACACCGTGTCTACTTCTTGCATAGAAATAGATGACGATTCATACTTGGTGTCTTTTTGAATTCCTTGTTTTTAAGAATACCCGAAACTCCCAAATGCATTGAGTTGTTGTTAGGTTGTTCCAAACTCTCAAAGGAAATCACCTTTTCACCATTCATCATCACCATGCAAGTCATTTTGTCAAGAACAAATTTAATTATGTAAAATCAAGATTTATGATTCTTTTGTTTCTTTCCAGTTTATGAGCTCTAGTTTTTAGCTATTTGTTTAGTAACAAGTATAATGATGTTATTATAATAGTCTATCATTGTGTGATCAGTTAGCGATCTGACTTGGCCTTCCACGGCTAGTCAATTCTATGTCACATTTTAGGGTTGCTCTGAGTTATTGCTCTGCCTTGTCTATGTTTACTTTCATTATTATTAATAAATGTGTGCTTTTCTTTCAAACATAAATAAGAATACAATTAACGATCAATTCCCATAAATATAGAATCAAAACTTTAAATATTTGCTATAAAATGTGCATGGCTTTAAAAGCCGTCTGATCCATTTTTGACAGTCATCTCCCAGCTCCCCTGCCCCTTTCTTGATGTTAATTTGCACAAGACACATCTATCATGCGATAGAGGATCCAAATCCGAGTATATTCGTTAGGGACCATTCCACCTTGATTCAAAAACTATTGCAAATTTCTAAGATACGTTAAATTTGTTTCTTTCAAAATTAATCTCCTTTGTCACAGCTTATACGATTTTGATTCCATTTTGATTGTTGAAATTTATATTTTTTTTATTACTAAAACAGATGAATCAATTGAATATGTTGAATTATTAAAACATTATTGTTGGGATATTAGGTCCAGGCCCAATATCCCTAGGCCCAAATCCGGGAAGAAATAAGCGGGCCCAAGGCAGTCCAAAGAACTCCCGAACGGTATTCGGGATAAAATGTCTACTTGGAGCATTTCAGGGAACAATTACGCCACAGTACCAAAGGCCAGATCCCGATCGGCGTTCGGGATATGTCCATAAACAGGATAGTACCTATGGCGGGGTCCCACACACCGGACACCCTGCCCGAACGAGCAATCAGCAAGGGGAGGCCGCATTTAATGTTGGATCATGGCGGCAGCAAGTGGGGGCATGGGTGCTTACATGGCAGAAGTGACAGCCTACCGGATTTGGCCACATGTCCACCTTACCCATCCCTATTTTAGTATAAATACCCATGTTTAGATCATTGTAAGGGGTTAGCATTTTGATACTCAGAGCTTAGCAATAGATTTATATCTCTTATCCTTGTATTCTCATTATCATCTACCGTTCAGGTAGTTCCGGTGTAATTGCCTAATATTTGAATACCAGTAAGCTCCTGAGTTGAATAATATCTCACTATTTTATATTTTTACACTTTTCGACCCAACCTAATATCCCCACAATATCCAAAGCTTGTGTTGGGCTTTCGGATCTTCGGGAATAAACCTCAACAATTATATTTTAATACGCAGTATATTTTATGAATAAAATAAAGAAAACGATTCAGCAAACTGAATCAAAAGTTACGCATTTTCATAATAAATTGATCAATGTGTCTAATAATATAAATGAATGTTACCAAACAAACTCTTAATATTACTTTATTTATCACGTAATGAATGTCCATTTTTTTTATTTCAGCCAATCACATCAAATTTGTCACATGTCAAACATGATAGTATTTGTAAAATTTTAAATCTCTTTTGCTTTATTACAAGTATAATTTATTAACTCAATATCAATCATAATTTAATGATACAAGAGTACTAATTGCTTCAATAAAATCTTATTAATTAACTTAAATTCTAATTTCATACGTAAATAACTGTATTACAACATGTAAAAGTTTACACTATTCACATGTTCTACTTTAACTACATTTTATTTACTGAAGTAAAAAAATTTAATTTTTGAAAAGTATAATTAAAATCTTCTAATATTGAATTTCACAAAAGTGATTTTTAAAATTATCTTAATTAATAGGAATTTAAGTAGATTAATGGCTAAAGTTTTGTTGGCAGCGTGGAAATAGGGTTATATACGAATTAAATAATTTATACTCAATTACTCAGTTCGGGATTCAAATTCGTACAACACGATTCGAAAAAATCAAATACAAATAAGAATAGTACTACCTTTGATCCGAATTGTTATCAAATACAATTACGAATAACAACATATTGGATTTGAATGTTTATAAAATATATTCGATTAACAATTATTATTATATAATAACAACAACAACAACAACAATAATAATAATAGTACTATAATTACTTTTAAAATCTAACTATACCCTCAAAATGTGGTCCATATATTGAGTTAATTTTAAATTTTTTTTAGAATTTTCAAGGTTCTATATACAATTAAAGCTTATTTATTATAAATCTATAGTATCATATCATTCATATGGAGCAGTGCTTGTAAATAATTTTGGATTTGAATATTGTAATTTCAAAAAAATTGATTTGATTGAATTTGAAAATATAGAATATGAATACGAGTACAAATCATATTTTTGGTTCAACCTTTATTCAAATATGAATACAAATAAATATGTATGTACTCAATTAGAAGAATAATTAAATATATTCATTTATACATAAACAACATCAACTATTTAGTATATGTGTATGCATCAACTATCCAATATATCATATATGTGTGTAAGTATAGTATAAACCATATATCTAATGAATATACTTAATTATTCTTCGAATTGAGTATGTTAGATATAGTATAAACCATATATCCAATGGATTTTTTGTTAATAACAATGTTGAATGTCTAATACAAAATTAGAGTTCTTTTACTGTGATATAATTACCAACTTATTTCAAACATTATATGTATAATTTTTAATATGTGTGTTTGTGGTTATTTCAAATGTTTTGAAATAGATTTATGTATAGTAATCCCATCTTAAAAGTGATCTAGTTTATTATATTGTGCACATACTAAAAATGCATCGATCCAATAAATTTTACAGAAAAATATAATGTTACAAACTACGGAGTAAATTTTAAAAACACACATTAAGACATAGAATGCATTTATAACATTACAAATATAGGAAAAATTGTTTGACAGTGATATTTGATTAATATTAAACTTATGATCAAATTGATTCGATATCCATATATGTTTCGTTAACTATTCGTATTGTTGCATGAGTACAAACTCAAACAAAAAATGAATATTGGTTTCATATTAGAATTTGGATTCCTATTCGAAAAAATCAAGCAAATACAAATGACTTACTATTCGACTCGGTCGATTCATTTACAATTTTACATGAAAATGAATCGTTGTCACTAAAAAGAATGAAGGAAATTTTACATGCCATTATCTTATTCAAATGGATAAGGGGCACACATATCATGTTTTTAATGAGATGAGCTTGAGTATATCTAACTAATTTAATGGCAATGCTTTATCAAGTATTGAGTGTACTGACTTATTATGCATCATAATGATTCACAATATAAATCGTGGTGGATCCAGAAATCTGGGTTAGATTAAACTGAAAATAAGTACGATTTTTTTTTATATGAAAATAAGTACGATAGTATATTTCATGAGATGGACTAAAAATAAAAGATGAACAAAAAAAATTGCACTACAAATGTGAAAAAAAATGGTGGTTCTTACTTTCATCATCAGCTCATCATAGTAAAAAGAAAAGAAAAACAGCTAGGTCGTCCTTCATGGGTAAAACGAAAGAAAAAGACAAAGGTGGTATAGTTGTACTACGGAGTACTTAATAAGCTACAAACACAGAAAAAGCAAATGAAAAAAGTCAGCAGCCTACCTATAATTTGCATGTGCTCATCCGTTGGAATTGAAGAACCTGTTTGAGGTGGAATTGAAGAACCTGTTTGAGGTTCAAAGTGTTGAAAGCCTGGTCTATTTTAGGCACATAAAGTTTTCTGTACATAGATAATTCTTAGGATCCTACAAAGTTATTTGAATATGTATACAGATAACTTTTGTGCGTGAGACAGACAAATAAACGAAAGGTTTATTCATAGTATTTTGTGTTTGAGGCTTTGAAAGCCTTTGAGCTATGTTTAAGCTTTTGAAAAATACTTACTCCGATTTTTATTAAACTTCACACTTTCATTTTTAGGACGGTCTAAAATAAACTTCACACTTCCTTATTTCCTTTTTTGGCAAAGAAATTTATATCAAAACAGTGCCAAACAGTGTCTCAACAGTGCCAAACAGTCTCAAACAGTGCCTCAACAGTGTACTCTACAATAAAGTCAAATTTCTTTCTTTATTTTGTGTGAAGTCAAAGTGTGAAGTTTAATAAAAACCGGAGAGATTATCATTTTTCTTTTTTACGCTATGGACTTTTGTGCTTATAAATCCATCAAATTAAAGAACTACCTTTGAAATTCTGACATGGGCTTCTTGGCATGTGCCATTATCGTGTAGCCTTTTAAATCATCCATGGGTCTAGGTCAAGT